CCGCCAGTGTTTCGTTTCTTCTGATCAAGTTTAAACATAGAGCTGCGTAAATATACTGCCTCGGTCTAATAAAAAACAGGGAGAAATACACGGTTGATGAACTAGAGGAAATTGTAGATTCGTCACGGGTATCATTTGCTTGCCATGATAAATTCAATATCCTTTTGCAGACACACAGTCTCATAAGGATCTTCCCATCCAGGTGACTCTGCATTAATTCTCCTGCTAAAACACAGGTCTCGGCCTAATAAAAAAAAGACACATAATAGTTGTTTCTGTCGCCGAGCCCTATGGCACTTTTTCCATTAACTATGAGTAACTTCCTTTGCAAGCTTTTGATACTTTTTAAACGACTGGTACGATTTTGTCTGCCAAGTGACACAGTCAGTTTAATAAGGTTTTATATCATTGAAATCAATAAAGTGGACGGAGAGATTGATGGCACAGATATCCTCGTCTGTTAGGAACAAAACGCGAATCGGCTCACGAGAAATTCTAACAACCTTGTGGAATTGGAGTCAAGAACAGGGAGCGAGGTGACATGGCGAAGGAAAAGAGCCTCGTCCGAGTTTCCTTTTTCAAAAAGTAGAGAAGAATGTCGGATATGCAACCAGGAGCGGGATAATCGTTATCTGATTCAGAAAATTGAAACCCGACTGAACGGAATCGACTGCGGTCTCGGATAACTCGCAGACGGAACTAGCAGTGTAAAAGTAATCAACATACAAATAGACTTGTTACTAGACTGGGTCAATCATTGCATCGTAATTGCATCTGTTCTATTAAATTGTATTTCTATCAGCCGGGCGAAATTATAAAGAAGATACTTCATTAAATTAGAAGGATTGAACTGATACGAAATTAAGGTAAAAGTATTATGTTGCTTTCAAAGGATTCAAAGGAAAGGAAAGGAAGCTTAGTTTTTATCAAATTGTAGTTCAAATAAATTACGGAAACGAGATTCCATGAAAAAAAACTCAAAAAAGGATTTCAGCACCATTAACTTATTATCAAAGCGATCCATAATCTAAATTGATTTTGAGATATCAAAGAGAAAATAAAAATTCTCGAACAATTCTCTCTGTTTCTTTCAGACAAAAAATATGAATGCTATCGAACATATGAGCTCATCCACGAGCATTTGTCCCCCTTCTTCTTTTCTCCCTTTCGACATCGCCGACACGAAAGCGCTAAAAATACAAATTTATATGAGCGCCCACGTTTATGCGTGAGGCTCTTTTCGTGGAAAAGAGGTGCAGGGCAGAGAGAAAGGCGACGATAATTTTAAATTGTCAGATGAAAGGAGAAAAGTACATGGCCCGACAAAACGGGTATCTTCAGTAGGTTGTTTTTCACTACAATGCGAGACTGATCTCATAAATGTTGGATAAACTTATTTGAGAAGTTTAAACGTTTAGTGAATTTCGGTTGTGTAACATTTATTGTTTCTATTAATTGTGGTTTGGTAAAACTCGATACGGGTTAGTCAATACGATAGTCGTTATCGAGACACGTCTCGTAAAATAACATTTCAATGAGCTGATTGTAATGAGTCGCTACATTTGTAGGATTTTAAAAAGGCGCTGTCATAACTCAATTGTTGCTGTCGAGATGGAAAAAAGTCCTGTACACAATTAAACCCATTACGTTATTACTTTATGTTATATTTGTAGAAATTGTC